AAAAACATTCAACTTATAGCTTTAGAAAAAGTTACAGGAATCAGAGAGTCATGTGAAAATTTTTATAAACTAGAAATCAAACTTAAATTATACTCTTGCGTTGTTATTAGAATTTTGGTTAATAACTTTATCAGTTTAGGCCAGATCTATATTTTTTAAACCAAATTTTGGATTTAGACGCAGTCAGCATATCTTCTCTACTACATAAAATCAAGAGTTTATCACTAGCAATTTTTGCTATATCAGCTTTTAAAACATGTTTAATAAGTTGCATGAAAAAATATAGTGAATTATCTTTGCTAAAACCAAAGTTACTACTTCAGAACACTTATAAAGAGCAGTGAATTGGGACAAGACAAGTTATTGGTACAATTCCAATGCACATAATAAATAATGGTTCAGTTTTTTCTTTCGACTCTATTCAACAGACATATAAAAATGAGTTATAAAATGCTTACCAGCGCACTACTATTTTTTACGACCCAAGATTTATGCGTATATTGTTTACCATGATCTAGCACAATAGTACAACTATACGTAATAATTAAAAATAACATTGATTAAAAATCTTTGTCAATTAAAAATAATTATATTTACTGAGAAGTAAATATATTATATTAAATATCATTAAGTATTTTATATTATCTAATGAAGTTATTATAAATGTTTATATGCAGAAGTATAATGTGCAGAAGTATCATTCGACTATATTTTATTTTGATATTTTTTCTTTTATTAATAATTGTGCCATCACGAAATATCAGCAATTTTTTCGGAAGAACTTATTGTTAGAATATTTAAATTGGATGCCAATCCATTAATTGGGCGTCCGTGCATGATAGAGTTTTGAAAAATTTAAACAAAATAATATGTACATTGTTTGCTGTCTTGCATTCTGAATATAACTAAAGATAATTCTGAAGATGTGATGATCTTCTTGAAATTCTATATGATACTAAAACAGCACGATTTGTAAATAAAATATATATTATGCCTTCTTGCATTTTGGATATATCTATATCTTTTGGATTTAAACTAAAATAATCTTGAAATAAGTGTCGTTGCAGAAAATTAGATGCCACATTTATTAGTAGAGTGCAGTAAACGGAGAGGAAAAAAGGGTATAACTTCTGAATTTTTTTACTGTGCTCCGAATTGAATGAAATTCTCAAGTTCAAAAGTAAAAACAATTCGGGTTGCGCCATCATCCCCCGGGGGATGACACCCCTTCTCAATTGTGTAATTACATTTTTTCAAAATAACGTCGGAAATCGATAGAAGAACTAATTATAAGAAAAAAATGTCTTTTATAGTTTTTCAAAAAAACTAATACTTTTCAAGTTACTGGCCACTAAAGATTCATATATTTTTGGCGTTTTTCTTCGTTTTTTTGCAAAATCTCCTAAAATATACATTTTAACGAAAATCATGTAATGAACAAAATAATGTCAATAAAAATCTTAATAAATCGGTGTTACATAAAGTGTTCTAGGAAAAATATTAAGCAAGATTTGAAAGAGTAAAGTTGCTTTTTATTTCGTTCAAAAATTAATTGTTGTATTTAAAGCCATCTAGTGTCGAGGTTTTACATTTATGCATTTCGGTGAAATTGGGTTTTACAGGGCTCAACATAAGCTTTAAATGAGTGCTGTTACAAGTTTTTTGCGTGTAAAATGAGTGAGCTATCATGCAAATAAGAAGCATTTCGTTATTTTGAAAAAATACAATTACAAAATGGAGAAGGGGTGTCATCCCCCCGGGGAGTGATGGCGCAACCCGAATTGTTTTCACTTTTGAACTTGAGGGTAAGATGAACCTAATTCCAAAATTTCATTCGATTCGGAGCACAGTAAAAAAATTCAGACCTAAAACGCTCCGTTTACTGCACTAGTAGGGGAGACTGGGTAAGGTTGTGCCAGGTTACGGTTGGGACAGTGTCATAACAGCTAAACTATACTAATTTTGAGATAGGGTCCAAAGGGAGAAAGATAAAGTATGTTTGTTCGAACAAGTTTAAATTATTGCATTAAGTCAGCGCTCTACATTAAAATAATCTGTACACCGAATTGCTTTTAAAGAATCAAAAGTAAGTGTTTTGTGGACTCGCTCTTTTCTTGTTTAATTTTATTCTATGACTAATGGTACTTAAGCGTCCTACGGGAACTACGGGAAGTTCCAGCAATTTGCCTTAAGACACGATGCCATGCACCGCTAGTTTCAGTTCACTTTTCTACTAGCTAACTAGCAAATTAACAAAATTATTTCTGATAAGAAAAGTGGCACCACCGTATCCCGTCTCCCAAAATGCAATGATCATAATTTAATAAAAATTTACATGATGAGTGCATAATCAAGAAAAAGATTTATAGTGTATAGAATATTAGAATTTTTTACAAAAAGTAGACCGAAGTAAACTTACTTGTAGTATGCAAAAAAAAAGTTTATACCAAAAGTATAAGGAAGTGGTCTCTATTTATTATTTCCTGACCCAGGCTTATTTGAATTTTTAATTCTAATTAAAATTGTACTATAAAAAACTTGAATGATTTGAAAATGAATTCTGAGAATATTTCAATTGAAGGCTTTCTTTTACTAGGTTTCTTAAAATAAACCAATATTATTTGTAAGTATGATATAATGGATCTAAAAATTTGATACCCATTCTCAAGAATGTGTGTTCCTAGAATACACTTTTGTCGATTCAAATCCCCAAATATAATCAGAAACCATTCGTGGAAGCGTTATCAAATAATAATTTCAAGATCAAAACAAAGGCATTATTGTTTATGGGAACCATAATAATAATATTTATTGTCACTGTTAATTTATATTACAGGACAACTTTATTATGTTTAATATATCCGGCGAATACAGTTCTTTACATATAGTGATTTTGAACGATCTCATTCATCTAGCAGAAAGATTATTTAAAGTTCGAATTAAAAATTATAAATGAAATTTTAGAAAAAATATATTTTTGGTATGTAAGTAACAGAAATCAGAACTTAACGAGTCCTAAAAGTAGTGCCTGACTTCTTTTGACGACGCTTTATAGAAAGCAACCCAAACGGTTGCCCTATCTCTATGTGATGAACTTTTTTTGAATAATTTTTCTGATAACGTTGATTTTTTTATCGATGCAGCAACGCCGGGTAAGAGCAATTTTTAGTTGGAAACATATTGCTATCTGTATTTCCAAGTGAAAATCGATGTCATTACTGCTTGACATCAGGCAGTCAGAGCTGAAGACCAGTATATTGAATCTGGATGTTCGATAAATCAAGAAAATATATGAGACATACGTTGCAAACTATAAGATATGTTCAAAGACACATCTTCCGACCGTGAAATATTCCCTGATAGTTATTTATTATTAATTTGCAGATTTATGCATTTTATTATGCGTTTTATTATGCATAATAAACTAAAATTTACTTACATAATTACATAAAAATTAAATATTATAAATAGAACTGGAGATCTGCTCTGCTTACTATATAGTAAGAATAGAAAAGAATATTCAAGTTTTTAATAGTCTTGAAATGTAAGCACAAGGTGAGTAAAAGGTTTCTAAACATTATTCCTTTTGGAAAAAAAAATTAAGAAAAATCTTAATGAAGATTTAGTAAATTTGAAGTAATCACTAGCAAATTATGACGGTGAATTAAATTTATTTTACGATCTTTAATCAAAAACAAGTATGTATTAATAATTTAACCGAAAGTCTACATGGTAAAATATTTTAATTTCGATTAAAATTTGATTTGCATCAATATGCTTTAACATATAGTTTTAACCTTTTATTTTTATGGAGCAATAAGAATCAAAATTTACAATTTTGTAATTGTTTATTGAATAAATGAGTTGAAGAGTATTATCTCTAGGTATTTAATAAACAAATTGGAACATTAAAAGATTTGTTAAAAAATCTTTAAATAAATCAGTAAATGTATCAAATGTAAACCTTTTCTAAAATGAATATTAAATGAATATTGAAGAACATTTGATAGCTTTTGATGAAAGCACTTGGATGAATATGAAATTTCTCAAAAAAGTAATAAAAAGAAATCTCATATTCATCCAAGTGTGTCTATCAAAAAATATATTAAGTGTTATTCAATATTTATTTGGTATTCACTTTAGAAAAGATTTACATTACTTTATATTTAACTTAAGTTAATATAAAGAAAAAAATATTAAATTAATTAGCACCTGGAAGCATCTAATAAATAAGAGTAGTTCGAGCAATAAGAGAGTTGTTAAATGTAATTTAATATAAATTAAATATTCATAGTTGAAGCTTCCATGCATTTGATGAAAATCAAAGTAAAATACCACATTAGTTCTAATCAATAATAAAATAATATTTAACCGTTACTCTTGAAAACTGATGGTTTCATCATTTAAAACAATTACTTAATAAAGATAAATTTACCTTTGACGTTTTTTTCCCTCATTATTATGCATTCTTTTCTAGATTTTTTCTGTAAATTGTGACATTTAAGAAATCGTTCATACCAAGCTCTGCTAGCATTGAAGTTATAACTCTGAAGATAAACAGAAACATTTCCTATTTTTCGCTCATTATTTTTTGCAAGATCTTCAACAATTTCTAAAGCCTTTGATCTAATGGTCGAATACCTAGAAGATAAATAGAAAATCAGTGAAAACTGTGAGTTGCAAATAGACCCTAGTATATAAAAAAATAAATTTCTGTCTGAATTTTAAAAATTATATATGTATATATAAATCAAAATCTGAACTTAAGCCACCTATAAAGAAACTATATATATATATATATATATATATATATATATATATATATATATATATTGAAATGAATAAAACAGCCAATGCGTCGAATGTAAAGAATTTATTTTAGTTTTTTATACGTTTCTAGACTAGATGTGTCTCATCATTCAGCTAAAAGAAGCTTTTTTAGCTGAAGCTCTTTTAGCTGAATGATGAGACACATCTAGTCTCAAAACGTATAAAAAATTAAAATAAATTCTTTACATTCGACATATTGGCTGTTTTATTCATTTCAATATGTTTCAACGTCGAACAAAAGATCCTCAAGATATATATATATATATATATATATATATATATATATATATATATATATTTATTTATACGGAACTTTCAAATTTAGATTTTGATTCAAAACTCTGGTCTATTAAAAATTATTGATTTATAAAGTATCATTGATCGATAGGTCAGGAATAAATAAATTGACTATGTTCTTATGACTTATTTTATTTGCAGTTTGTAAAATGATTAAATATATATTAAAGTAAAATTACAGCAACAGTCACTGTAAATTTTCCAATAATACTTTTCTATAAGACAACATGATGCACAGAAATGAACACTAATTTATATAATTCATCCCAATCAGCATTCAGTACTACAAAGATTATTAAAATATACATTCAAAGAGGATATTTTTAAGAAATTGGATTAGCTTTATAATTTTTGGAATAATGGCTTCTCACAATAAACATAATGCTTAAAAGTTTTGTTATATCAACTCAAATAATAAAACATAAGGTGTTCACAAATTATTGTTGAACTATCGAAAAGGCTTACAACTGGGTAACATATTGAAATTTACATTTATCATCATAATTAATTAATGCTTTTCTTGTATTAACAGATTAATAAAACATAAATCGAATATATTAGTGAAGAAGTAATTTGAAAAACTATTGCACAATATTTGTTTGAAAAACCTCTTACAATAACCCATCGCTTTACATAGATTTGATAATTTTGCTTCGAATAAACTTTATTGAATGTTATTCGAACAAATTTATACCAAGACAAAATCATATATATATATATATATATATATATATATATATATAATTTATCAGTTTAATGTTATGTTTATAGATTGAAATGACTTATAGTCAACTCTGTTAATGTATATACAGTATATACTATTATGTATACTAATATTTTTTTCTAATAATAAAGCAAATCTTGGCCAAATACCCTTCAGGAACTAATTCCTGGTTATAAAGAAAAATGTATAAGAATTTTAAATAAGGGTTTTGGTTGCAAAAAGGTCAATGAATACCAATCTCGATTATACTTGAATGGAGGAACCCATCGAGACTTAAAATTAGAATTTAAGTTAACTACTTAATTAGAATTTAAGTTAACTCTTTGCATTTGTTATAACTTACTCTAGTTCAACATCATTTTTATTCTTAGTAATCCATTCCATCAAAATGCTTTCCATCTGATTTATAATAGGTTCTAGAGATAATTTAACTACTTTAACATTTTCAGGACCTACAGCCATCATTTTCGTTTTAATATCATCGCTCTTGGATTTTATTTCTCGTACAATGGCTGGTTCGGTTTTACACATATTAGCTGTTTGTGCAACATTTTCACCTTTGTCCAAATTATTTATTATTTTTAACGTCGTTGCCAGATTTGGTGTTGTTTTCAGTGGTTTGCATATAGTTTTGCTTGATAAAGCAGCCAGTGGTGGTAGTTCGTGCATTTTTTTCTGTAAAAATAAAAGTATATTAAAAAAGACATTTTAAAAAATGAGGAACTACTAAATGATTCTATCAATAGTATCACATGTACAGATATAAGGTTACAGATATCACACAAATATAAGAAAAAAATAGAATTTTCACCGTGAATATCTAGAATAAATAATTAATTTTTAATAGTGAGTGTTAATTAAAAAAAATGGTTTCGAAAATCAAAATGCAAGAGTGAATTCATTAAATTTTCGAATACATAATTAAAAATGTGTATAAAAGTGTATAATTTTTTTTTGTTCTTTTTTTTATAGTTTATGAAGAAAATCTCATATTCCAGGAATTTAGATATATTTATAGATTGAATAAATATTATGAATAAATATAATGAAGCTCTTAGATCAGAAACATAAAATTAATATATGATAAATGAAAAATGAGAATATATATGGTAATAGTTATCCAGAAAAACTTTAACTATAGAAATTGATTGAAACCAAATTTGAAAGAAGTATGTGCGCGTGTGAGTGGATGTGAATGGATTTTTTACCTTAAATCGAAGTTTTCTCAAAAACGGTTGGACCGTTTTCAAAAATTTAAAAGCCATTCGATGCACCTCGGTGAGGACTATTGTTTGTCAGTTTTGTGCGACGATCGGCCAAGCCATTTCATTATAAATAGCAGAAAAGTGAAAAAAAATCGTCCACGTTTTAGCCCGCAATTCTCAATAAATTTTGAAAATTCAAAAACCGTTCAAAAGATATTGGTTGGGAATCGACCTGATTAGTTTTTGGAAAAGATCAGCCGGGTAATAAAGTGTAAAAAAAATTCGACGATTTTTATGAATTTTTTTTGACGATAGATACATAGTCTTATAGATCATACTAAAAAATATTACGGACCTACGAAAAATCGTTTTATTTTAAAAATTCTTCAAAGTTTGCAAAACCTTTGCTCAAAAACGCCTGAACCGATTTCAAAAATTTAAAAGCCATTTGATGAACCTCAATGAGGACTATCGTTTGTCAGTTTTGTGCGACGATATGCCAAGCCGTTTCTTTGTAATTTGGAAAAAGTGTTAAACTTTTCGTCCACATTTAAGCTCATACTACCGAATCGATTTTGAAAATCAAAAACTGTTCGAAAGATATTAGTTGGGAATGATTCTGATTAGTTTTAGGTGAAAATCTACCGAGCCGTTTTCTTGTTATTAACAGTTGAACAAAAAATTTAATACGATTTTTATGGAACGTTTTTTGGCGATATGTATCATGGTCTTATAGAACTTACTGAAATATAACGGCCTTACGATAAGTAGTTTAATTTTAAAAAATTATCAAAGTTTGAGAAAATGAGTTGTTTTTTTCTGACGTTTGTTAAAATTAAAATTAGACTATTTACTTGATAGTGTTCAAACGTTTTTAATTATGTATAATAAATCCACAGGAATATTTTTAATCACACATAAATTAATTTATTTTTTGTTGATTAAGTCGATTATTTACACATATCGGGAAGTTCATGTAACTTGCCTCAAGGCAAAATACCAATACCAACTAGTTAACTATTATTATTAATTTATTTATTATTAAGTGCTAGTATTTATTAATAAATAAATAATAATAAATTCATTATTGAGTGCCAACAATATATCTTGTGCAATTTACTTACTATAAATTTAGATGTTCAGAAAGTTTTTGGCGTCCTCTTTATGGCTGTCAAACTTAACGCTTTTTTAATATTTATTTATTTACTATTATTATTTATTCATTTTTAAGTACTCGTAGATCACATAAAATGCACACAAGAATCTAATTAGAAATTAATTTCAAAATTATTTATTTATTTGAATATGTTTGTTTACACTTTAATAAAAATATACTTTGTTTATACATGACCAACAAACTTGAACTTAGCTTCATTAAAATGATAAATGTCAAAATTAGACATTTAGTTCATTGTGAAGTTCCAATTAATACCAAAACATGCTAAACATAGATAAAAAAGAGTATAAATTGTGCTAAATTCAATAAAAATTTTAAAAACTGTTTTTCAAAGTGCTCCGATGTCTTTTTAAACAAAATGTTTTGTGTAACTTTTATCATTTAGTGATATTTTACATTTAAATATAAAATTTATAAAAGGTTGTTCTTGCTACATGAGGCTAACTGTCACAATGCAAAGATCCTGTCCGCCATTACAGTTATTATTGCAAAAGTGTAAATAACAAATATAAAAAATTGTGTGTGATAAAACGTAGAAAAAAGCCTGATGAATCTTTTTTGTAATATGTACAGGAGTGGTTTTTATTTGTCTCTTGTATTATTGGATACAAATAATAATTCAAAATTTTTTGTGTGAACCTAACCTAACATGACTCATTTGAAAGCGTCCATCACTAAACAGTTATCATTGCAAAAGTGTAACGAACAAATAATAATGCAATTTGTGTGTGATCAAATATAGAAAACAGCCTGATGGATCTTCTTATGCTATAAATTGGTAAGTAGTTATGGTTTTTATTTGATCCTTGTATTATTATCTTCAAATTATCTTTAAAAAAATTTTGGGTAAACCTAACCTAACATGACTCATTTAATCTGACGATTTTCGACTTGTGTTACGTGGTACACTATTTTGCAAAGAAACCTTATTACATCCATTTTTCGAAAAAACTTATTCGTATCAATTTTTTAAAGAAAATATAGTGAAAATGTTAAATAAAATTACCATATTGACAATCATGTCGAACAGGAAATGGCGACCGTAAACGTCAAACATCAACGACGGTTGCTCTTGTCAAGATAAAATCCAAACGTCAGTTAGATTCTTATAAGACATTTTATAAGAAATTGAATATTCGTTAAATGTTTCTCATATTATTGTGTTTTATTTGACAATATTGATGTTGTAACCTAGTACCCCCTTGTCCTGTCACAGAGTACCCCAAAATTTGGGTTCATTGTTTACAGTCAACCGATCTGACTGAAGTACCAGAAATTAAAAAGTTGCTACTAAAAGTTATGTTTTCATAGTTTTAAGTAAACAAATGTTATAGTTTTCATCTATGGCAGTTGGAAATTGGTTTAAATAAATATTATCCTAGTTACATTACCATTTAAGTGATAAAAACAATTGCTTTTTTAGTAACAATGTACCTAACCTTACTTTATGCTTAATTATCTATGCCGATTTCCTTGTTGATATCGGCACGCATACAACGTTGATGCCGATACGCATACAACGACAGATCCATGGCCGGTAATCTCCGAACAAATGTAGATTACCGTGTTTTGAAATGGATTGGTATTTGAATAGTTCGAAGGATGGCGCTACGATTCCCAATTTCATTCATTTAGCAGCTGGCTTGATCTACATTGATTTGATCGGCCATTTTCTATAAGTTGTCAAGTTGTCATCGCGTATTGTAGTTAAGATTTTCTGTGATTGTTTATATATAATTATGTTTTTGTGAATACTGTTTTCATTTATTATTAAGTTAAAATGATGAAGTGTTATGTGCCAAATTGTTATAACCCCAAATATAATAAAAAAATGCATGTCTTTCCGGCATCTAATTATCAGGTATGTACATAATGATGTATTATGCATATAATGAATATGTATCATGAAAGTACTATTAAAATGTTATATATATATATATATATATATATATATATATATATATGTAAATATATATTATACATATTTGTGTGTAAAAAGATGCTTTCAATTTGGATGCAGAGGGCAAATAATCTTTTAATGGATGACCTAACTCTTCGGTTTGTGGCACAAATCAACGATAATTTGAAATCAAAACCAAATAGAAGTATCTCCTTTACGGCAATAACAGAATAGTTTTCAAGTCACTGGAGAATGCTCTGATACAAAACCAGAAGAAAAATCTGCAACTCCAAGGACAAAGTCAAGTAATTATAACTCTAAATACTTCAATAACATTTGCAAAAAAATATTAATAAATGAATCTTATGTTCTTAGGAGATGGAAGCCTAAACACCTTGAAAAAGATTTTTGCAGCACCTCTAAGATTGTGAAGTACAGGTTAAAAGTCACCAATTCTGACACCAGTTTTCCGAAAAGGTACTTTTTCATACTAATTGCAGCAAAAATATTTAATATGATAATTACAATATCTTCAATCAATTAATATGATAACAATATATTCAATAGAAGTCCCTGATATTAGCTGCAAATTGCCGCAGAATGCAATGATAAGGCGTAGGAGTGCCTTAACACCCAGAAGATGTATGATACATCAAATTTTGTTTCGGGATTAAAATGCAATAATTTAAAGGTTAAATTCCAACAGAGTATACAATGTTCTGAGAAGTTTTCAAATATTCCGGAAACTTAAAATGTAAGGGCAAGAATTTTGATAATGTCTCAATTAAGAGAGCATACTCAAAGACCAGACAGTTTATAAAGCGCTAGGGTTCAGTTATAGTTTTAATTAAACCTCCTTGCAATAAAAACTGGATTAAAACGATAGATAGATTTGAGCTACAATTGGTATAAATTAAAAGTAGTTCAGGGTTTTGGTTACTTTCGTTTAAAAAAACACTTCTACAGAAACTATTCAAAGATTTCGTCAAATATAACTTTATTAATGATTGATTATATAGCAAAATAACTATTAAATGGAGAGATAACAAACAAGAATGTCTCATAAATGAATTTTAATCCTAGGAATTTAGTTTTATCTCAATTTGGATATCAATATGTATATATATTTTGTTTTTAGGATTATTTTGTTTGGAAAGTATTCATTCTTTTTTAAAAATGTGCTTTCTTTTTATCCTTTTAAATTATTGCATTACTTGTCATTCCTTCTAAATTTGTCATTCCATCATCAATACTCCTGCGCTTTTTACTTCTTAGTTTTTAAGTTTTTAATATATTATTATTAGTCATTCAGTAATTAATATAAATAAGTTATTTCTAGAATATTAATAGAATAAGTACTTTGAAAATATGTCTGTAATATACTTTAATTAATAGTAGTCAGTTATTTCTGTTTAGTTTATAATTCTTCAAAAGTATGTCTGTGATATATTTGAAAATGTATTTTGTATTTCGTATGTTTTGTTCTTATTTCAAATAATAATTTTTTTCAGATTTTTGGGCTGTATTGATTTTATGTACAAATGTAGAAGTAATACCAGGGGTTAATTTACATACTGTATGTACATGTGCTGCCATGTAGTGATCTATTCGTAAATTAAAATGAGTGTAACGTCAAATGGCCCGAGATGGCGATCTATTTATGCTTATTTATCTATGGACAGATCTCTATTCACATATACGACGACCAATCAAATTCGACCCATATAGAAATTATATCATCGAGAGCAAATGACGAATCATTGGCAATCGATTCTGCCGTAACGCACTTCCGTTGCATTTATACGGATTTACACCCTAGTCGCGCCTAAAAAAGTTTTACTTCAAAAATACGTGTAGTACATTTCACCCATTACATTAATATTTTGAAAATAAAATTTATTTAAGGTACTACAATTTTGATTACAATTGTTACCAATGACATTTTCTATTTATATTTATTTCATTACTTGGAAAATTTTTGTACTCTCATTGATATATTTAATTGATTGAAAAAAGTGTTTCAATTTTAATTAATTATGAATCAATGAAATAGAGTGCAAATTACATTTTCAATCTAATTTTTTTGTATATTTTTTAAATTTTTACCCTTATTTCTAGGCAACCCTTCAAACCATCTCAGTAAACCACCTGTTTACTGTAAACTGTAAATCTTCTGACAAGGTTTAAGAAATAACTTTGAAATTAAATAACACACAAAGAGATGACTCTGCATGAAAATTTTTGGTCTTCTAAAGGTAGGAATATTTATATTTTAATAATTTTTGAATAAGTTTTTAACTAATTTTTCTAAAAAAATATTTCGATGTATTTCCAACCACCTGTGAAATTTAAAACTACATGACATAATTTTGCATTAAAAAATAATCTTCAGTTGATATTTTACAGTAATATGCATAAAATATGAATAAAAAGTTAATATATTAAATATTGACTTAATATTATTATTTATTTGCCATAATAATAATGTATATATTAATAAAAATAATGCTCCCATTTAACCCAAATAAATGTGACGTTTGTAAACATAACCTAAAATTATTTAGGTTAAGTTGCAAGTAGTCGATTATTAGAATGCATAAATATTATTAGTTTGGATAAATTAAGACTAAATTATATTAATTAAAAAAATTATACTTCGCCTAAAATATTTTTTGTTTATTGTGATATGTTTCATACAAACTACAAAATATAATTTAATTATTATACCGAGGTGAACTGTCTGGAACTTGTATGAATAAGCAGCACCTTTCCACTAATTTTGATTAAAAAAGTTATTCACATCACAATCCATTTTAACACTGTTTCACTACAATTTCAATTATTATATTCACTGAAAACTTGGTGCAATGAAATCTTATCACAATTTATTATTTGTTGATGTTATGGTATGTCAGCTTGTTATATGCAAAGCCACTGTATATTTGGTAAAACCACATCAAGGATAAATACAATCTTCAACGGTGTGCGTAAAACTATATTACGTTAGTGTTTGTAAAAACCTGTGACGAGTATGTATGTGTTTTACCGGGGATTCACAATGCAATGTTACGTATAATATGATACTGCGTATATTTTTATCTACATAAACACAAAATGGGAATTACAATTACAAATACTACGTCAAGCATTTGCCGTTTTCACTAAAACACTGAAGATGTCGTTGGGTACAATATTTTTTGATCGGGAGGCATGAGTCAGAAATTACTGACCACAGGCCAACCCTAATTTTTAACTTCCCGTAGGGTAAGTCTTACTTATCTATGGGGTAATCGCAAAAAAAAACGAAAATGACAATTTTTATATATCTTTACGTTTCAAAACCTTCTGAACATTTTGGCATAATTCAGAAAAAATGGTGTATGTTGTGTGTGTATGTGTATGTGTGTGCGTGCGTGTGTGTTTGTGTGCGGATACAAATTTACGTCGACAATTTCGGGAACACGGACCAAACGATTTGAATAATTTAAAAAACATTTGATTCGTATTGACAGGGAGACGTGGTGATTAGTTTTTGGCGAAGGCAGGTCTAGCGGTTTCGAAGATACGGGGCAAAAAGTGCCAAAAATGGTACCTCAGTTTTACGTACGATTTTAATAATTCAAAAAACATTTTACTTGTATTGACAAGGTTAAGAACTGATTGAATTTTTGGAAAGGCAGGTCTAGCGGTTTTCGGAATCTAGTAAAAAAAGTAAAAAAAAGCCATTTGTTGGTCAAAAATAATCATTAGACATATGCACATCAAATTATCGGATATTTTATAGAGATTTTAATAATAAGTATAAATTTTGTTTACATTTCAATGTGGTCCGTAACATCGTTTGTCCGTTAGACGGCGACGCGGCGCTTACGCGCTTCTATAATTCGTCTCTATACAGCTAAAGCAGTGCGATTGCTTTGGAAAAAAGTTTCAAGCTTTCCGAAATATTTCAAAATAAAAAAAAAGTTTCCAAAAGCTTTTTTTTCCAAAAATGTCTTTTTTTAAAAAATAAAAATTTCTCAAAAATTTTTCATAGATTCAAAAAAATATTTATCTTTTAAAAAAAAAACTTTTGATACGGGAAGTTCCAGCAATTTGTGCACAATGCCATACACCACTAGTTTACTGTTTTTTTCTTCAAATATATATGCTTTGTGTTTTTTTCTAGAAGAAATGAATTAAGAAACTAGTGGTGCATGGCGTGCGTGGCCTAGTGTCTTAATTCGATGAATATTGAATGTAATAGATTATTATAAATACTGTAACTTTTATTATTCGTATCTTGTACAAAAGAATTTATGCTTATATGTATATTGTACGACCACGATCGTATATGTTTATATAGAAAGTATTGAGTTGTTCGGGAAGTAACTTCGTTTTTATAGACATTTTGGTACGTAATTTTCGTACAATAAACAAATACTTTAATAAATTTAATAAACTTTAATAATTATCAACTTCCCATAGGGTAAGTTATTGTAATGGGCCGAAAATAGGAATTTTTACATTTCTCGATGTTTTGAAGGTTTCTGAACATTTTGGCATACTTCAGAAAAAATGGATGTGTGTGTGTGTATGTGTGTGTGTACGTATGTATGGATACAATTTTTCGTCCACGTTTTCGGGCGTACGGATCAACCGATTTGAATGGTTCAAAAAACATTCGATTCCTATTGATAAGGAAATGTGCTGATTAATTTTTGGCAAAAGCAAATCCAGCAGTTCCGGAGATAAAGATCAAAGAGTGAGAACATAGAAATCGAGTTTTTGAGAGAACGGAGCATCCGATTTGAATGATCTAAAACACATTCAATTAGTAATGATTGAGAGAAGTGGTTGTTAGTTTTTCGCAAAGGCAGGCCCAGCCATTTCGGAGGTACGAAGCTAAATGTACAAAAATCGCAGTTTTTGAGAAAACTAAGCGTCCGATTTAATTGATTCAAAGAACTTTATGCTTGTCTTAACAAAATAATTGATTTTAGAAAAAAAAAATTGTTTCAACTTTTTTTTTATTTATTTTTTTTATTTATATATTTTTTTTAATTTTTTGTATATCGAAAATAATTCAGATTTTATTTTTAATTCTGACTATAGTTCTAATATACTTTACAAATAATTTCAACTTTGCAATTCAGTTTATACAATTCTTATAAATATTAGACAATGTTACAATATTTATAATAATCTATTTGAAAACATTCAGTATTCCTCGAACATTTCGTTACGGTACGGGAAGTTCCAGCAATTTACCTTAAGGCACGATGCCACCCACCCCACTAGTCTTTTGTCATAATTATCTTTGAGATAAAGGTTTCACCGCCTAAAAATTTTTTAGTGGCCGAAACAAATAATGGTCCGATGATGGCAGGCCTGCAGAATATGATGAATGTGTCATTGGGTTTCATTCAAGGTACAAAAGCTTTTGTCAATTGACCAAACTTATGTGAGGTCTGGTGGGTTAATTCTGATCTTTTCTATTGAAGCATATCATTTAGTTTATCCAAGCTGTTGACATAAGGCATCCGAATTTACCTTTATGATATCCCGGAAAAGCTGAAAAATGAACATTTCCTTTAAAATTTTACCAAACATACTGCATATACTTTGCACTCTGCACATACTTTTTCTGTCAAATTTCAGCTTGGCACCTGCTGAAATTTTATTATTAATTGCGTGTATTATATTTTTTACATCACATTTGACATTTCTATGACAATACGCTTCAAAACCTGATAATTTTCAGGACTTTTCAGAGGCGAATAGCGGACGCCAGTGCGACACCCGTTTCTTTCTATGAGAACCATACATTGAGTTTCGAGAAAAATCCGAGACATTTTGAGGGGTCATAAACTGTTAAATTTAATAAATTTTAACTCAATGAAATGAATTAAAGTACCTTATGTCATATTTATAAGAATTATATAAACTGAATTGTAAAGTTTAAATTATTAATTTTGTGTATAGAAGTAAACCGGGAATCGAACCCGAGCCTTCTGGGTGAGAGCCAGGTATCCTAGCCACTAGACCAAATGGGATATATGAATACGCTATATCCCTATATCTAAAATGTTTAATACCAATTACATAAAATGTTAAATATACGAAGTTATTCCCATACAGGGAATTGAACCCGAACCTCCTGGGTGAAAGCCAGGTACCCTAGCCACTAGACCATATGGGATATATGAATACGGTATATATATCTTTTTTTGCTGCGAGGAACTTTTAATTAAATGGTTAATACCAATTGCGTAAAATGTAAAATATCCAAAGTTATTCCCATACCGGGAATCGAACCCGAGCCTCCTGGGTGAAAGCCAGGTATCCTAGCCACTAGACCATATGGGATACATCAATGCTCTATATCTTTTTTTTTTGCTGCGAGTAACTTTTAATTAAATGCTTAATACCGATTGCATAAAATATTAAATACACGAAAATATTCCCATACCGGGAATCGAACCCGAGCCTCCTGGGTGAAAGCCAGGTATTTCCAAGCCACTAGACCTTATGGGATATATCAATGCTCTATATCTTTTTTTTTGCTGCGAGTAACTTTTAATTAAATGTTTAATACCAATTGCATAAAATGTTCATATACGAAGTTATTCCCATACCGGGAATCGAACCCGAGCCTCCTGGGTGCATATAATCCATTTTTTGCTGCGAGGAACTTTAATTAAATGTTTAATACCAATTGCAAAAATGTTTAAATATACGAAGTTATTCCCATACCGGGAATCGAACCCGAGCCTCCTGGGTGAAAGCCAGGTATCCTAGCCACTAGACCACATGGGAATATGAACACGCTATATTATCTTTTTTTGCTGCGAGGAACTTTGAATTAAATGTTTAATACCAATTGCATAAAATGTTTAAAATACGAAGTTATTCCCATACCGGAATCGAACCCGAGCCTCCTGGGTGAAAGCCAGGTATCCTAGCCACTAGACCATATGGGATATATGAACACGCTATATATATCTTTTTTGCTGCGAGGAACTTTGAATTAAATGTTTAATACCAATTGCATAAAATGTTAAATATACGAAGTTATTCCCATACCGGTAATCGAACCCGAGCCTCCTGGGTGAAAGCCAGGTATCCTAGCCACTAGACCATATGGGATATATGAATACGCTATATATATATCTTTTTTTACTGCGAGGAACTTTTAATTGAATGTTTAATACCAATTGCATAAAATGTTAAATATACGAAGTTATTCCCATACCGGGAATCGAACCCGAGCCTCCTGGGTGAAAGCCAGGCATACTAGCCACTAGACCATATGGGATATATGAACACGCTATATATCTTTTTTTGCTGCGAGGAACTTTTAATTAAATGTTTAATACCAATTGCATAAAATGTTAAATATACGAAGTTATTCCCATACCGGGAATCGAACCCGAGCCTCCTGGGTGAGAGCCAGGTATCCTAGCCACTAGACCATATGGGATATATGAATGCACTATATATAATCTTTTTTGCTGCGAGGAACTTTTAATTAAATGTTTAATACCAATTGCATAAATGTTAAATATACGAAGTTATTCCCATACCGGGAATCGAACCCGAGCCTCCTGGGTGAAAGCCAGGTATCCTAGCCACTAGACCATATGGGATATATGAAATACGCTATATATATCTTTTTTTGCTGCGAGGAACTTTTAATTAAATGTTTAATACCAATTGCATAAAATGTTAATATACGAAGTTATTCCCATACCGGGAATCGAACCCGAGCCTCCTGGGTGAGAGCCAGGTATCCTAGCCACTAGACCATATGGGATATATGAACACGCTATATATATCTTTTTTTGCTGCGAGGAACTTTGAATTAAATGTTTAATACCAATTGCATAAAATGTTAAAAATATACGAAGTTATTCCCATACCGAGAATCGAACCCGAGCCTCCTGGG